ATTATAATCCATAATTATGTCCCCACTGGATGCAACAAATGCCTCGTTTATAATGGGTTTTAATGTTTTTGAATCATCACTCCAAGGCATCCTCACAGTATGGTGAGGGGCGTAACATTTCCGTCACACGCTTGAGGTATTCGGCCAATCACAACGCACTGGATAGCTGGCCAATCACAGCACACCTCGCTTTTCAGACCGATGAGCTTTGTAAAAATCGACGCGTTTCAGAAATGCGGGACATAGAGGAGAAACAATAATGTACAGTATGTGGAAAATAACGTGTTTTTTTAACCTTAAACCGCATAAACACAATTCATTACACCAAATACACAAAATAATGTTCTTTTTAGCAACATCATATGACCCCTTTAAGGCCTCTTTGAAGACAATGCAGGTTTTTGTGCATGAGGAACCGGGCACGCAGCACTCGCGCCCCGGACACAAACCGTCTTGAATGTAAACTCTCTCACACACACACACACACACACACAGAGAGAGAGAGTGGCTTTGTGCAGCACAGACTAGATGTCAGCGCAGAAGCTGTTTTACTGCACGTCGCTCTGCTGCAAATAAAAAACAGCAATGTGCGCCAGCGGAGCGTTTGTCAATAAACGCACTGTTTGACGCGTCAGAGGGGAAAGCTGCAGCAGGGAGAAAACACGTTGGATCTGATGTGAGTTTTGTGAGTGTTTCTCTCGCAGGTCGTCTTCTGCAAGCATCTGGAGTTAAGAGAGCAAACTGACTCAAATCTTCGCATCGCACCCCGTGCCCGTGTCCATGGCGGAACCGGAGCTGTCGTCTCCGCGCTCGGCGCCGCTGTCATTCCCGTTCCTGCGAGAAGGTAGCCGCGTTTGGGAGCGAGGCGCGCTGCAGCCCGGGGAGTTACCGAGCCCTCTGCCCACCAAACGAACACGCACGTACTCCATGTAAATACAGCACACACGAGCCGAACCCTACGGCCGCTTAAACGCTGGATCTCCTCTCCAGTTCTCCAGTCAACTCTATCAAGCTGCGGGCACGTTTACCGATTTTCGGAAGATTTTCGCGGGCGAAACAGACTTTTCAATATGGAATCCATGGAGGGGGAATTTCGCGTGAGAGCAAAGATTCCCCCGAACAGATCTCGCACCTGGTTCACTGTTGACAATAGACAATGGACTTTTTTGCCCGCAAAATTTCTACGAAATTCTGCTAATGTGACTGCACCTTTACAGTTACAGTCATGCAGTTGATGCTTTCAAAAATAAGTGTGTTCCCTATAGCTGGGGATCGAACCCATGGCTTTGGTGTTGCAAGCGCCACACCCTTTGATTCCTAGCTAACAAATATATGTTCCAGAACCTTTTGCAAATGTTCCCATTAAGTTATGAATTTTGGAATGTTCTCAGAACATTTGAAACATCCAGTTTTTAAAGGTTTAAAAACTGTTTTCCTTGTTATGTCAATGTTAGATTAAATATTAAGGGCATGTTCAACTTTAGCATCTGAAACAAGTAGTAAAGTTTGGAAAACACTACAATTTTTCAAAAATTGTTTGATGAATAATTAATAAATGATGTTTTTGTGCTAACGTTTTGATAATGTTATTAAAGCCCAGATAATTCTGAATGGACATTCTGTTAACGTTACTGGAATAAGTTTGTTCGTAACTTTGAGACAACCGTGCCAGAACATTAGCCAAAGTTCTAGAGAAGGGTCTGGCTGCAGCCTCGCACTTGCACTCTCAGGCTAGTGTCTGAGAGTGCAAGTCTGAGAGTGCAAGTGCAAGGCTGCAGCTAGACCCTCTTGAAGTTCTAAGGACGTTCCCCGTTAGCTCAGTTTACAGGAACTAGCTATTTTGAAGAAAAAAATTATGAGGAC